CGGCACACTAGTGTGCCGCGGCACAGTGGTTGAAAAACACTGGTATAAGGATTCCTGCTATTTACAGAGAGTTGTTCTAAAAAACCTCCAAGGTCCCTTTCAGTCCTGTGATCCCATGATTAGCTTATGAACTAGTCTACTGAAGAGAAGGACCAGGGGAGACATGATAGCAATGTTCCAATATTTGAGGGACTGCCACAGAGAGGAGGCGGTCAAGCTATTTTCCAAGGCACCCAAAGGCCGGATAAGGAATAATGAATGGAAACTGGTCAAGGAGATATTCAACCAAGAAATAAAGATAAATTTTCTGACAGTGAGAACAATCAACCAATGGAACAGCTTGCCTTCAGAAGTTATGGGAGCTTCATCACTGGAAGCTTTCAAGACTGCCATTGGTCAGAAATGGTGTAGGATCTCCTGCTTGTGTGTGGGGTTGGACTAGAGGACCTATAAGGTGCCTTCCAACTCTGTTAATCTGTTTAATCTGATTGCCAGAATTACTTCAAACATCTCTATAATTTAGAAAGCCGCTCCAAGCACAGAAATAGGAAGGCTGTATTATATGATAGCTTATGTGTCAATTACATGAATATTTGCTTCATTGCAAGAACGTACAATTTAAAGGGTGTGGATTTATGGTCAAGCTCGGTTTCTCCAAAAATGCACATTTGTACAACAGCAATAGGTAAGAACAGCAAGAGGAATCCCCTGCAAACATTGTTCATGCTATTTCTAAATATTTTTGTGTATAATATTTAGAAGAGTATTCAGCTGCTACAACATACAGAATTGGAAACTTTTATAAACATATTCACCTTATGAGAGTTTTTCAATTTGGGAGGAGGGCTGTCACGGAGCCGTTTCATTGCTTGGACTGGAGAATCACTGAAATAGGGAGGTTCTCCATCAATCATTTCAATTACCATGATTCCCAAAGACCAGATGTCCACCTGCCAAAACAGAAGACTGCATGTGGGGATGATGTGCAGAAAGATATTCTACTTCAGAGTTAATAGACTTTCCCAGCTGAGATATCAAAGAACCTGAAAGATTATTAATTAACCTTTTTTCTAGCATTGCATCAAGAAGGCATTTTTATCTTGCTTTCACTGTCGTGCCATTGCTTCTGTTACTTATTTTTACATTCACTGTAATGAATTCTGCAAAAATCCGTGAATGTAACATTTTTATTATAACAGTCTTATAGTGATGCCAACTCTGTACTGATGTACATCTGTACATTGCTGAAATAAATGAGAAAGCCACATCAGCCAACTCCTTGCATTCTGTCTGAACATGGCTTGCAGCACACTGAATTATATGGATCAGAAATAATAATACAGAGGGCAAGAGGAGACATTGAGTCATACTTTGTCATAATCTTAAAGGGTAGGTGCTAAAAGAGAATTGGTAAAAATATTTCAAACTGACATCCCTTTCAGGTTCTGGATCTACAATTACCTCAGTGGTATACGGAGACCTTGAAATAACTTCTGGAGCCATCCAATATGGTGTTCCTACTAAGGATTTCCGTTTTGGTACATCCTTGCTGATTTGTGCACAAAAACCAAAATCAGAAAGTTTCACCTACACAAAAGAAAGTAAGGTAACATTAGATATCCTACACTAAAAAATAGGGGGAGGAAATAGGTAAGTAAAGAGAGTGTAGGAGAAGACAGACAAAAGCTGTAATATAGAGATAAGCATCCAGACCTATCCAATCCAATAGTGCATATTTTGAACTGCAATGTTTTTGCAAACTGGCCAGCAAAATTTTTCTCTCTTAAATATAACAGGCTTCTTTTCTCAAAGTAAATGTATTAATTCATTTAAATATCACTTCAGCCACATATCACAAACCTAGGCCCAGAGTTAGAACAAAACACAAAAGAACAATCAAAATAGAGAAAAATAAAGATAATATAACTAACTTATCAAGAGAGTCCACCCCACTATTCTCTGAAAGCTCTCCAGAAAACATATAGTTATATCACCTGGTTTCTAGGAAGAAGATATTCCTTAGAGAAGTGGCAATCACCAAGCAGTACTTCTTCTGGATCCCTGCCCCCTATACTTCCCCAAGTGATGGCCCACTGTTAGCATGAGAAGCATATTATGTAGGTTAATTTCATTTATCAAAAAAAGATGGAACAAAAAATGCAGAAGGGAGCAATGCCTGAGAATTCCAAATGATTTCTCTGAATTGGCAGAACTGGCAGCTTATTTATCTTTTAAAACTAATTCACACAATTGCTAACTGAGTATATGGCCCCTTGCCTAATTTGCTTATTTAAAAGTATAGATGCCGGAGACTGAACCTTGGACTTCCTACATACAAAAGCACACTTTGCTCCTGAGTTGTGGCAAAGAGAAGCCAGAGAAAAATGCAGGAAAAGATGAAAGAAACAAATTAAGAATTACCCTTCCATCAAGAGTCAAGAGAATGGAGTCACTCTTAATGTCTCTGTGAATCACACCTTGGGAATGCAGGTAGGCAAGTGCCTGCAAGACTGACTCACATACTGTAGCAATTTGCTCTTCATTCAGTCTGAAATAGAGCAGCCAAAATTGTACGTGGGAGTAACTTAATTTCATACAGCAACAATTAATTAAATGTTCACTTATAGCATGCATGATATTTATGACACTTCCTGCTCCATTAAGAGTAAGAATTATGAACAGTCATTCTTAAAAAGTAGATAAAGTCAAAAAGTTCAGAACGAGTGATTTGGAATTTCAAAATCACATTTTACACAACTACAAGACGCTACCCTGGTGACAAAACAAAATTTATCATTCTCTTTCTCTGCTGTAGTGGGAAATTGCTAAATTAATTTCATTGCCAAATTTGAATCTGTCAAAATAGTTCTCAGATCACCCCTCCAGGAGCTAATTCTTTCTCATGACTAGGCATTATCGGTATTCTTATTCTCCAAGAATTAAATTGATAGGAATCATTAGTATGTCAACAAATGTGATACTTTAAGTGCTATTTGAAGAAATGCTCCCTTTATTTTGTCTATTCAGCAGCTCCTATCACAAAGTATTCCTTATGATAAGAGCAGACTGAAATTACATTCTTTGGCTGTTCTATAATATGGTGCAGCAAATTGTGCAAAACAAAGCCTGGGGCTATGTGCAATTTATAAGCCACAGGTTCTCTACATGGAATTTCAATGGTCTTTAACAAAGACAGAGGTTTTCTAAATAACCCACCCCAATATGGGTGCATTGAATCGGAAGAGAGCAATTCATATATTCCTGCTTTTTTCCTACCTGATCTGAGAGAGAATGTCTGTCAGAGCTCCTCCTTGGAGAAATTCCATCAACACCCAAAGCTCATCACCTACAAGATAGCTTTTATACATCTCCACCACGTTGTCATGCTGGTAGTCCCTCATTATCACGACCTGAGAAAGATGACAAAATACAAAGGACTGATAATTCACACTATCCTTTTTGCTAATGTGACATATCTCCAATTAAAAGATTCTCTTTTGGCCTATGCAGGTTGGTGACTTTCATTGGATGGTTAAGGGTCACAATCCATGATTTCAACATGCACTTTTTCACATCAGCATCCTTTTATAATTCAAGGACTGACAAGACATATTACTGGAACAAAAAATTATTCCATGTTGCAATCTTTTTTCTTTTCCTGGAAATTCTGATTAGTTTGGACCTGAAGGGCAACACTCAAGGTTAGAACAGAGACTATTATGTCCTTGACTAAATCATGATGATTTTCAGGCACTTCCACACTACAATACCACCATTTTCATTCCTGAAACTCTCAGTAGATTCTTCCGCTTCTGCTTCTGCCAATTCAAAATGCTGAGAACAGGGAATGAAATTCACTGTTCTGCCCAGGTTCCTACAAAATTTACTGAAATAAAAGTAAAACAGAAAACAAAATCCAACCCCATAGTTCTTTCAGAGGAAAACTGACAAAATGTTTGTCAATTTCACACTTGCTTTTACCTTCTAGGTCCGGGATGGCGAACCTATAGCACGCGTGCCACAGGTGGCACGCGGAGCCATTTGTCAGGGCACGCGAGACGTTGCCCTGTTAGCTGGCCAGCGTGCATGCATGTGCTGGCCAGCTGAGTTCAGCTTTTTTAAAAGCCATTTTTCGCCGTCCCCAGGCTCCAGAGGCTTTATAGGAGCCTGGGGAGGGGGAAAAGAGTCTCCCCCACCCCCACCCCGGGAGTCCGGTTTGCTCGTAGGGTCGTTTTTAGTCCTCTGGAGGCTTCAGGGAAGCCTCCTGAAGGTCCCTGAAGCCTCTGGAGGCCCCCCAGGGGCACAGGGGAGGCTCTTTTTGCCCTCCCCAAGCTCCTATAAAGCCTCTGGAACCAGGGCAGCGTGAAAAAAGCATGCAAAAAATGGGGAGCGCCTCTCATGCACGCATGCGCACTGGGGCAGTCGCACATTGCATTATGGGTGTGGCACGCCCACACACAACCCCCCTGCGCTCCCTCCTTATGGCACACGAGCTAAAAAAGGTTCGCCATCACTGGTCTAGATTCTGGAGGCTAGATTGCCAGCATTTTCCTGAAGCTCAGGAATTTGGAGAGAGAGGGGAGAAAGAGGTCTTTCAAATAAGGTAGTAGAAGTACATCATTTTTAAAAAGTAAAACACTTCCCTCCAGCTTTGCAATAATTTCAACTACGTCACAGTTGATCTGGAAATAAATCAACTCAAGTGTTCCAACACTTTTAACAGGGTGGGAAAGCAGAAGTTCAAAACTGTTTTTAAACTGACACAGGATCCTTGATGAAAGTGCAGTATACGAGTTATTAAATGATATCAATATATGGCACCAAAAGCAATCTCTAAAAGCCAAATGAATAATCTTTCTTTTGTAGATGCAGTACTACATCTCACTGACATTACTATCTACTTTTGGGCAAATAAGGTTAATATTTAACATCTATTAATTTAGTCACCTCATTAAAAAGGAGTTCTCGCCGCTGCTGCTTTCGTAAATCCATCATCTTCACTGCTACCTGCCTCCCAGAATGCTTCTCACGAGCAATGCAGACAATACCCGTAGATCCTTCACCAATCTTGACGTAGCTTTCTAGCATTGTCCTAGGATCTCCTTGGTCCACCACCATCCTCAAGGCAGCTTTGAACTGCTCATGAGTTACCACCGCTGGATCCTCACTGGTTGGCTGTGCTTTAGCATCCAGAGGAAGATGAAGGTTGCTGGAGCTGGTTTGGGTGTGCCTGTTCCGTGGGGACCCTGCTGGCGATGGCCTACCTTGAGGCAAGCCAATTCTATGTTCAATGGTTGGGGACTTGTGAGGGGAACCACCAGCTTCTGAAATCCTAGCGTAATCAGGCACAGGCTGGTCAGAGGGAAGAGACTGGGATTTGGCTGCAGGACTATGCGGTGAACTCCAGTGCTGGGGTGCCCTGAAGAAGGGGTTCGGCTTGTAAAGAATAGAAGAAAATGTATCATTAGCAGAACTGTCAATTCAGATAAAGACATTAAATGTATTTGAATCAATACATTGCTGATGCAATCTACATAAATGGAATTATTGAAACAATTGTTTTGAATGGAGATTAAAGTATTCTTTGTATTTTGAAATAGTATATATAGAGATTGCAGAGGATGCCATCTTGGGGGGAAAATTGCCCAATACAAACACACACACTGTAATGAGCCACTTCAATCTAAGTCCAAATTAAAGCATACTTGATACATGATTATCTAGTCTTCACTTGAAAACATTCAGCAGAGGGAAGTCACAATCTCTCAGAATAACTGATTCCATTCTTTTCTGTTATGAAATTTCTTCTAACATTCAACAAAAAATTGCCTGTATTCCCTGTCCTGCACTCTCAAATGATGGAGAGTTTCTTGAGCAATTTCTATTCTTCTATTTGAAGGACACCCTTATATGCCACCACAATTTTCTTGGCTTAAGTATGTATGCATATGTATGATAGGTATTGTACAATCATCACCTTGTGCAATTTCATATTTATGGACAGAGCAGGGATGAGAAACTAAATTCTTATTATTTTTAAAGTCATATAAAGTGAGGTAAAGAACCTGTCACATGCAATAAACCAGCAAAGTGTTTATTATCTTTAGCTGAGTTTCAAAGAGGTAAGTATCTTGTGTGGCATCATAATCCCTCTCCCAATTGTTTTAATGGCACTTGAAGTTCAGTAGAGAAAAAGGTTTATACTATTGTATATTCTCTAAAAAAAGGTCACCTGAATAAGCCACGTTTCTTTCTTATTAGAACACCTTTAATACATCACAAGACCGATAGTTTAACTTGGTCATTGCCTAGGTGTTATATATATATATATATACTACAAAGTTAGACAATTAGATTTCATGCCACTGAACATTTTACATATCTATTATCTACATAACAAATATTCAATCATGTATCGTATTCACAAAAATAACAAAATTATATTTGTAACAATGGCACTCTAATAAAAATATGTGATAAACTCTTCTATACTGCCATGATTGTATATGCACAACTTTTAAATAAGCAAATTTAGAATATGTTAAAATATAATAATGTTTAACATTATTATAAAGAGGATCTGCTACAGATAATTGTGTGAAATAATGTTATTTAAAATTAATTCTCCATTCTTTTTATTCTTACTCTCTCTTAACTATCTCCACCAGTTCAATCAGGCAACCATTTAAAATGTGCTTTTAATATGTCCCCAGCAGGTTTGGCCCTCAATTTGCAGCTTATTTCTTTTATGTTTCTTTATCCCTTTAGGCTTTTTTTATACTTCAAGGTCTGCTAAAGTACCCTTTTTGTGCATGGATGATGCCAGCTGAGCAGCTATAAGGGTTGGAATTTCAAATGAAACTTTTATCAGATCAATATAAAGGTGATCTGCAACAGAAGGAAGTAGTGTTATGTTCTTCCAGAAAACTCAATCAGTAGGTTCTATTCTGAACACCCAATTACTCAGCTACTACCTATATTCCATATTATTATTGTTGAAGGGACTTTCTCTCCATCTGATTTTATTCCCTGCTGTTCTCCCACTCTGTAAAATAGAATATAAATATTTTGGTCCATTTATTTTATAGAATGTATACAGGTAGTCCTTGACTCATGACCATAATTGAGCCCAAAACTTCTGTTGCTAAGCAAGGCACTTGTTAAATGAGTTGTGCCTTACTTTATGACCTCTTTTGTAACAGTTGTTAAGCAAATCACTATTGTTATGTGAATCATGTAGTTGTTTAGTGAATCCAGCTTTTCCCATTGACTTTGCTGGGATGGTAACAAATGGTGATGACATGACCCTGGGACAGTGGCAGTTGCCAATCTCCCGAATTTTGAACATGTGACCATGGGGATGCTGCAACAGTTGTAAAAAATGGTTATAAGTCACTTTTTTCAGGGCTATTGTAACTTTGAACAATCACTAAACAAAGGGTTATAAGTCTGTATAACTACCTCATCAAAAAGTAATAAAATAATATCATAGCAAAGCCAATCCTCCTAAAACAATACCCAACTGAACCAGACATATCAGACTCCGCTAATAACCTGAGGATAAAGAGAGGTGTTCAGGACTTTCTGGAAGGCTAGGAGAGTTGTGGCCACTCAAATCTCAGGGAAGAGTCTATTCCATAGGGCAGGTGCCATGGCATAGAAGGCATATTTCCTAGGTTCCTCTTGATGGCGCTGTTTCAAAGGAGGACTCAGACCATGCCTACTTTGACAAATCTTGTGGAATGAGCAAATAAATAATTGGGAATTAGTGTCCTGAAAAGAACTTGGACCCATCATATATAGAGCTTTATAGCTGACCACTACCACCTTAAATTGCACTCACTAACCTGTTGGAGCTTTCAATGCCCATGACTTACTTAGGCATACCACTGCATTTTGGACTAACTGCTGCTTCCAAATACTCTCCAAGGACAGCCAGATATAAAGCACTTTGAAGTAACTTAAGTGTGAGTGACTGAAAATTAATCCTCCTGTTCCAGGAAGATTATAGTATAGCCTTTATTGTCATTATACAAAATAAAATTGGTTTACGAAGAGGCATAATTAATGGAAAAGATGAAGTTGTGCACAGGCACACCTGACCACAATTGTTGTGCACAGGTGTACCTGACCACAACTACGGTACTCCCTGCTCATCTACTAGGAGCCAGAATCTAGAGGGACTTGTATGTCATCTCTTTGGATGGGGGAGTGCTACTCTATCCAGAATAAAAGAGGGAAAACCCCTGAACTGGAGGGCCCAAAAGCCCAAATATATGTATTAAGTCTTCTTATGGTTGAGTAAAAGCCAGTTCCTTCCCATTCATACTTCGATAGCTTCCAAAACCCAGGAAAGGACTTGGAAACTAATACTTGGGTAGTATAAAGCAGAAATGTACAACTGATGGTACTTAGCCTTTAAGTTGTTGAATGACCTCCCCATATAATTTCATGTAAATGTTAAATAAGAATGGGAAGAACTGTGGGGCCCTTTACAGTGCAGGGATCTAGAGCTCAGCTTCTCCCAACATCAACTGAGTCCAGTCCTGGAGGAAGTTGTCTCCCACTCTGAATCTTCTGAGCCAGTCCAGAAGGATATTGTGATATCACAAAGTGAAAACATTCATTACAGATATATTAATATATTAAAGATACCATTCATAGACAGAATTAAGCAAGATGAATTCAAAATGCTTTATTAGAAATCTAACTTTAGCTGGAATAAAAGATTGACGTGAGAGAAAATATAACTACCTGGATAGGTTCATTTGTCATTATAGCAGTGCTATCCTGGGAAAATACTCAGTGCAAGTCATTCTATAGAATCGGTGTTGGCAATATGTTGGTACAGGCTTAATTCAAAAGGAATCTGATTTCTTTTTTTGAAGAATTTAGAATAGGTATGTCCAACCCGTGGCCTGTGGACTACATGCAGCACTGGACAGCTAGTAATGTAGCCTCAGAAGACCATACAAAAATATTGAAAAATAAAGGAAGTTTATTATTTATATATTTTGTTATATATTTTATATGCAGCCCAAGACAATTCCTCTTCACTCCATGCGGCTTAGGCAAGCCAAAAGCTTGGACATGCCTGATTTAGAAAATATCTAGTTATGCACATTGGAATATAAATGCATGGCCAATAAGAAAAATGACAGAATTGTAGAAATGTTTTTAGAAAAAGTTTTTTTTAATGAATTTATGGTATCTAAAAGATTATCCTATTGCCATGGAATTACTACTGAGATTTATTATTAGCCACTGGTAACCATTTAATGGTTTAATGTCTATGGTGAGTAACCATTGCTACTTTATTATGCAAATCTTTATCAGATTTTTCTCCTCAAAGAATGCAACGAGTGGGAATTACTTTTTTGTATCATCACAATAAGTCAAGTTTAATAAACAAGGTATTTGATGATCTATTTGAAGATCACCCAATTAATTTAATGTCTATGGTGAGTGGAAAAAGGATTCAACAAGACCTACTATAGTAGTGGATTCTTATATTGTCAGGGAAGTGGACTAAATTATCTTTAAGAACCTTTCCATCTGTACAGAGTACAGAAGACAACCTTGAATATGCAAGAACTGTTACCTAGGCAAAAGAGCTGACACATTTTTTTAAATCCAGAAGAAAATGACATTTGGAAACAGGTCAGATAGATTCCTCCCTAACTCACTGAACTATAAGAAGGAGGTACAGCATAATCAGACTTGCAAAATTTTGTTATTATAGCCAATATCAGTAAAAATAGTTTTAGCATGTTATGGTATCTCCGAGCTACGTTAAAAGTTCTCATCACAATTCAATACTAATTTTCCTGGAATATTTAGCCTTACCTATGGCATAATCATGCAATTCTGACAATAATTCTTACATATCTATGTCAGAAAACAGATCTTAGTGACCAGTGATAGAAACAATAGATGATGGTTTAAAGAGGCCAGGTCGGATTTTCTACAATTCTGTATTAATTAGATGAAAAACAATGATATGAATTTAAATATATAGGGTGATAGAAGAAATTCTCCTTATTTAGGCCTAGTAATATTTATACTGCAAGCAAATATAGATTATTATCTTGCATAGCACCCCTTATATACATTTTTTTTGTTTTGACTCCTGTGGGTATACATACAGTATATTAAAGTATATATTGCAATCATTGTACATTTCGAGTGAATGCAGAGAGAGAGAACTGTCAGCAAGCAAAATTACCAGTACTGCTTGATGAAATGTACTTCCCTCATTTCTGTCTACAATACCTTTTCAGTCCAGCTGAGACATGTCCCTGATAGCAAGGAGTGTTCAAATCACCAGCTTTGTTTTATGTATTCTAGAGTCCACTTTTGTAACTTTTACACTATAAATTCAGCACATTGTTTATGTGCCATTTAAAAAATAGCAACATAAACATACCCTTATTTTCATTTATTTCTATATCATTTAACTTAAACTAGCTAGGCTATCTTTTCATTTTAAAGGTGTTTACAGCAGAACACGAGATTGCAATAATATGAAATCATGGGAAAGTAGGTCTAGATCACAAATGAAAGCTGACTCTATCAAAATGACAGATGCAAAATGAATTGTCAGCAGAGACCAGATTTAAAAAACCACACTAGTAGGCTTTCTAGGTTCAGTAAATGATCTGTGGCCTCTCTTGCTCACAGTTCATAATGTTGCTGTTACTGGGCTTTCCCACATCATTCTTTTATTTATGAATATGCTCTGAGTCAGCAGGGTTCTGTACATATTCTCTTCAGTTTCTTTCCCACAGATGGGCCAAGGCCAAATTTGGTTAGCCATTAGCAGCTACTAACTGACACTAGAAAACAGCTTTATGATCTCTTCCAAAAATTCTGGGATCCTCACTGCAATAATCACTTTTGAAAAGTAAAATTCAGAACAGGTTTGGGATATGGAAGGGTAAGAGCTGGATAAAACTGATATTAAAGCATGTTTTTGCAGGTACCGTGTCTTCTCAACCTCATATTTGTACTGTTTTGAAGAACCAATACTAGAAATTTTGAAATCATATACCCTACCTTTCTTTCAAAGAGACTAGGACAGTACAGGTAGATGTTATCTTTTTAATTTGTTTTTGCTGTTACTCTTACAAAATAATAGTGGTTATTGGGCTTAAAAAGAATGGCTAAGCTTCATGGCAGGGCAGTAAGTTGACTTCACATCTTTCTGTTCCAGTCTCCATCAAGACTCCAATAGTTATCAGTCCATAATGTTGCTTACATTTTCATTTTATTCTGAAACATCATTCCAACCTCAATGCTTATTTAAGAAGGCTGTTACAATGGTCAAATGCCACTATGGACAAAACCTACATTTGATTCAAAAAATAAGTGGTGTTGTAGAAAGTACTGCTCTATTAATCTGGTACAGACAACTACTTTGGGATACAATTGCATTACAGGTAGCCCTCAACTTACAATCAGTTGCTTAGGGACCATTTGAAGTTTTGATAGATTTACCTGGGTAAATTCATGGTACGTGTGACCCAGATTTGAAGTTCCAAAATTTCAGGCTCCTCCTGTATGTGACTGCAGTTTGCCCACTTGGCAATTGGTCCGCCTTTACAGCTATTGATAGTGTCCTGTGGTCGCACAGATGTATTTTATGACAGCTTTATGGAAATTGGTTTGCTTAACTACTGCAGATTCATTCAATGATCATGGTGATTTTTTTAAAATGATCACCACAAAAAAGATTGTAAAATTGGGTTGGTCATATGGGTGACCCATTTTACAACTATTACGAGTTACGACTGTGACAGACAGGCTCCATTATGATTGTAACTCAAGGACTGCCTGTATCATGAAGAATCAGATGTAATAAACATTTGGAGAATTCTTCAACCCAGTAGTACCTCTATGGTGGGGATAGGACAGTACTCTATAGGTAGCCATGCCTTTTTCTTCAACCTTTCTATACCAATACACTGGTTGCTCCAAACAGAACTGCTGTCATACTCTCTATATAAGGATCATGCATTACAGAAAACTCAGCTCTAATTCATGCACATAATGTACAGACAATATTTAGGACATTGGCTCAGAAAAAGCCTAGATGTGTGCAATGTACATACAGACTTTCCTTTTGTGCACATCCATGCTAAACAGGGGCAAAAGTTATCTAGAACACTCACATACAGACAGCTCCTCACAACCTAACATCTGAATGGGACTCTTCAGAGGAAGGCATCTGAGCCTGGCATGGTCTTATATGGGTGTTATGCCAGTCCCTTGCTTTACACTGTATGCAGCTTTATGCAACTCAACCTGATTCCACAACTTTACTCCATCTGTTCCACTTAATACAACTCCTCAGATATAGTAGGGACTTAACAGTAGGGACAGACCTGATGGATTGCAGTAGAAGCAGCAAGGCTTCTTTATTTCTGGGCTTCATAGAAAACGTAGAAGTCGAAGATAAGATATATATGTCTTTGTATCCAAGGCCAAGTGTGTTTGTATGTGTGCATGTGTGTGCATATGTATAGATGACATATATATAACAAAGGCAACAGTAAAAATATTGGGTTTCTGTCTGGATGGTCTCTTGTGACGAGCCGATAGACAGAGAATGGAAGCAGTAAGCTTCCTCCCATATTTGGGCATACCAGGGGTTGTGACACTACATAATACATACATACATACATACATATGTAGGTCTATGGTTATTCGGGTTTTCTCCCGCGTAAAATTGGAGGTGTCTTGCCGATGTTTCGACAAAGTTTCATTCGTCATCTTCAGGCTTCGTGCTTCCAGGAGCAAATTCCAGTTTGCTCCTGGAAGCATGAAGCCTGAAGATGACGAATGAGACTTATACATATATATATGTATGACTGCTAAATATTACAACCGGGGATATGGAAAGATACCACCCAAAATATAACAGTGCTAATAAATTCAGAAAAGAATATATAGAATAATCAATAAATGAGCAACATTTGCTGAAACTAAAAAATATACCATATCCATAAAATGTTAATATAAAACTAACTCAATCCTTTAACATATTATTAAATCTAGTTATATAGACCATTTATTATTCCATTTTCTCAGTTTGGGTACAATATGTAATTTTGCTATTGTTACCTACTTATTTTGGTACATTGGAGAAAAAAATTCTGCAAGCATTTCTCCCTCTCCATGTGTGGCAGGGGGGAAAAATGTAGCTAGAAGTTAAACACTTAACAACTGCTAACCTTGAATGACATCCAAAGTTTTCTTTCTGCCAAATAGTAGATCTGGTCCTGCCAGGTTCAGAGCTATTTTCTGAAAAGGTGCCACTTTCAAGGCAAAAGAAATCATTGGAGTCTGACGAGCACCAAAGGGAGTTCCCTCATGATGCAAACAGCAACACCAGACCACATTTTCATTTGGAACTTAGCATTGGTGAATAGACTTAATCTTTCTCATTTTGCTCTTTAGTACCAGTCTCAACATGCCTCCCAGTGCTGGTGATTTCTGCTTCAGACACACTAAATGCACAACACAACAGATTGGATAGTTTGTACACTATAATTATGCAATCAATAGTACTAAATTGCCATCTTAAAAATGAACAAAATTAATCTGGTATGAATGATGTCAATAAAAATAGTTATGGAAATATTTTGCAAAACAAATGGGCTTAAGCTGAAACCAGGTTGATTTAATCAAAAGAAGGAACAAAATTATTACTAGAGGATTAATTTTTTTGGAAAGCAGTTTGGCAAAAAATAAAAACACATAGCAGAGAAAATGGAAGTAATGTGAGACACAAGAAAGTCCAAGAAACAATATACATAGAAATCATCTTCAGAGTGTTTTGAGTTTGCATGAAGGAATTAAATGGCTGATGTGGAAATTGCATTATTTTTTCTTCCTTTCTGGCCATTTCTCTGCCACAGCTAATGCCGCTCCCCAACTTTCTAGAGTAATGTTTTAGATTATGTTTCATTTAATTCTTATATAAAGGTAAGAAATGTATGTTCAAATAAACAATGACATTGACAGGCAAAGTTTTTGTGAGAGCAGAAATGGGTTTCTAAGATAACTGTGCATGTGATAATATGTGTTGAAACTTTAACATTAGCATATATTTAAGGCTATCTTCATCATATCAGTAAAACCTCCTGAAATGATTTGCAAGTTGTAAGAAGATGAGTTGTAAGAAGATTCTCAAAGCAATATTTGCTTTCAGAATTGGAACTTGGAAGCTCTCAGGCTAGAAAGGTACTAATGTAATACCTTCTAGGGAACCAAGCACACATACCTTTATCTGTGGGTTGTTTCCAATCTTATTTGAAGGGTTGGATGACGGGAACACAGTTCGCAACAGCCTCCGCTTCAAACTGTTTTCCCTTGATTTAGAGCCAGGACTACCTTCTCCAGGTGGCCTCAAATTAGCTTGGCTCCCATGGCAGGGCTGACCATAGTTCTCTTCGGAGTTTCTTCTTGCTACAGCATTTTCTCTGTTTACTTCAGGAACAGGGATGTATTGCTGGTGCTGAAAACCTGATGAGAGTGGGGCAAAGTGGCTATTTGCCCCTTGGAACTCTGAAGGGTCAAGAGATTGAGCTTTCATGACTAGGCTATTGGAATGAGCCTGCCCGTCCAACATGGGCTTGTAATCAGGCCATAAGGTCTGCCTTCTAGACGATTTATTTCCACCATTGCAGTTGAGGTAGTTTCCATATTTGTCTGCCCAGTCTGGTTCAGCGCAGTGTAGATATATGTCAGTTGGTTCATCTTCTCCTAGAAGTCCTAGCGACTGGGCTCTTCTCCTGCTAGTAGGGCTCTTACCCCTCAGGGTGTTAGAACTGATGAGGGAGAGCTTCTGGATGTCATTGAGTATTCCAGAGATATATCCTTCCACTTCAAATGTGCTGGCTCGCACAACCGTCTACCACAAAACAATTAATTAATTGATTAATTGAGGAAAGTTAATGTCATCTGCTCATTCATTAAGAAAGGGAATATCTAAATCTGGGACAAATTTACATATATTTCTACATACTGTACGTAATTAGTGAACTATCCCTAGTTCACTCTGAAAATGCAGATCCAAGGAGAGAATCACACTAGTGTTTACCGCACAGTGCTCAGAAACTTAAAAATGGCCTGGTGCTACTAACAAATCAGATGTTACAGAGTCTATCCAAAAGTGAGGCTAAACCTCCAAATAGAGCAGATCTACAAAACATTTGTGTTGCCCGCCATTGTTTTTAATTTCTAGTTTGAAGCAATTACTAACCTCCATTTCACACTACCACATGCAAGAAAAGAAAAATATGTAGTTTAGTCAATAGCAAACATGCACACTATGAACCAATTATATGAATTGATAGACAATTTATTTTTACTGCCTACTGCTGTTTTACTGGATAATATGTTGAAAGGTAAAGACAAATAAATGTTCTTTTTTTACATCTATTATAATAACTCAAATTCTAAAGTCACAATCCAACAAACCTATTGGTGTGAATAAACACAAAGACATATACATTCAATAATAAATAAAAATTAAAGGAATTAATTTTTACAGGAAACTAGTTATAAGCTTATAAAAGTATTTTAACTATGCAAAGATATTGACTTGGAACACAATAGCTGCATTTTCCTGCCCAGACACCTACTTCTACTATACATTACCTCTCTTACAACTCAGCCAACTCATTTACATAGGAAATAAGAAGCTTAAGAATGCATTGTTATTATTTTTCCAAAGGGAGGCTCAGTATAACAATGCCATCCCCTACTTCAATTCAAAACAGCAAAAAATGTGGTAAACTGCAGTCAAATGATTGTGAGACACCGCAACAATTGTAAATGCGAGCTGGTTGCCAAGTGCCTGAAATACAGTCATATGTCTTTGGGGTTGGGGAGTGACACAGCACATTTTACAACAGCTGGAAGTGATTTACAGGCCATAAAATACCTTCTCCAAGGTTGTTGTAACTTTGAATGCTTGTTAAATGAGGACTATCTGTATTCTTTTATTGTACACTGCTAGTCATATATACTAGAATCTTGTGGTAGGGTGGTATACCAACCTTTGCAAGGAGTCTGAAAAGCTGCTGTAAATCACAGTACATCTTAGAAGATAGTATATGTCATGGCTTAAATAGAGCAATACTTGCATCTTCTAACAAGTGTTCTGTTCTTATTTTCATCTCCAGAACATTCACCATGCATTACTGAATGTATGAATATGTTGCATTTTAAGTGCTGGATTCATTTAGGAACTGTATCCATAGTCCTCTTTTCGGATGAGAGCAACTTTTGCATCTCATTTGGAAACCAAGGGCTCAGAGTATGGAGGAAGAATGGAGAGGCCAATCAAGCACAGTAATCCCACGGTCATTGAACCAGTTTTTGGTACTTT